TTTATCAAACTCTATATTTCATGAAATACAGCTAAAACTACTCCATTAAAGTAAGTCTTTCAAAGTAGTGAAACCATATCGTTGAGGGGCACGTGTGTCTTTGACATCTTCCCCATTGATTTTGCCATCCACGAGGTACGACTTCTTCATGATATTCTGCGTCCACTCGATCAGTTTATCAATATGAGGTGTTTCAACACCTACAACCTCGGCTATTCCACGTGCTACAATGAGACCAAACGGCATGTCCTCGACGATGTACCTGTGTTTAAAGTTAGGTACCCATTTACCATCGTTTGCTTGAACCATTGGATGTACCAGCCCTTTGTAAGCCTTGTTGGTCGTAATGGCCTTGAATAGAGTGCTCTTATCCTCAATGTCATTGGCATAACTTCTCTTAAACCAGTCAAAGGTGTGGCCAACTCGGGACAAGTCAGTGTTGGGACTTTGTTTAGTGATTTCTTTTACAACAGAGAGTATTTCATCAGACATGAGACTGAGATAGTTGGCTCCTTGGTAAAACAAAGGCTGTTTGTCAACAGGACGACCGTCCCAGTTTCCCCATCGGTCTCGGATAATACAGGGATGAAGGAAGGCGTCACACATTAGAGTGATACCGATCAGGTGACCTCTAATGTCCAAGAAGAATATCGTTTATTAAATAAAACACTTAGCAGTCTTACGACTGAATTGCGTGTTAAAATTTACAATATATAATGAAATAGATAAGAATAATGTTAGAATATAAAAAAAGTATTATAATAAAATATATATATATATATATAAATATTTAAAAGATAAATATTGTAGATTCACTGAATTGTAAAGGAATTAGTATATACAAAAAGTTAAGATGAATGGCTTACAATAAAACTGTTTCTAAAACGATTAGTTTTGCATATAGGTGTATTGAAAAGTCTTTGCCGTCTAAAATTCCTTGAGTGAGTAATTCTGGGTGGTAATAAATTATGTAGCTTATGATTAGAGTTGTTATTAATGTTCTTAAAAAGTTCTTGACATAGTACTTTTCTCCGGTTGTAAAGTGTAGGAAGTCCCGTACTGTCCAAACTGTCTTTATAGCTGCTATCAGGGAAAATGATTTTCAAGGCGCGACGCTGAATCCTTTCGATTTCCTGTGACAAGTAAGCAGGAAGGCTGCTGTGGAAAACTTGGCATGCGTATTCTAACACGGAACGAATAACACTGCAATAAAATCTGACAAGGTCTTTAGTGGCGATTCCAGCGCGTTTGAGTTGCCTTAATAAGTAAAGTCTTTTGGCAGCTTTAACAGTTATTTCTTCTATGTGGGTTGACCATGATAAATCGCTGCTAATAACAACACCGAGAACTTTAGCCGTCGATACTCTTTCAAACTCAACCCCTTGAATAGAGACTTGGGCAAATTCAGGAGGAGAACGTTTGAAACACGTCTGTAATTCCTTGCATTTCCTTGGGTTTAGCTGCAGATGGTTTTCTTGAGACCAATTATGGACGTGGTTTGTAGCGAGTTGGAGGGAACTAAACTTGGAAGATGGTACGATTTCGGAGATGGTGGTGTCATCAGCGAATTTCCACATGGAGAAACCTTCAGGTAGACGAAGGTCATTGATCATCACCAAGAAGAGCCACGGACCCAAACGAGTTCCTTGGGGAACGCCTGCAGGGA